CGAGGGTGGAATCAAAGCCAGGCTTGTGGCGCTGTGAGGCAGCAATGCTAACTACTGAGACACTGTGCTGCCCCGGGGTGACCAGCTGTGATAGGTATACCCATAATGAAAGGAGGTAGGAAGTTCCAGGGTTTTGACCCAAGGACACTGAGGAATGGCGATATTTCCTCCGTCCGGATGTTAAGTTGCTTGGAGAAGAGTGGTCCCATTTTTCCTTCTGGATGTACCTAGTGATGTACTTGACTTGTGCCTTAAAGGTGGTGAGCAGGTTTTGGGGAATCTGGAGCTGAATTACTCGTGTAGGTTTCCGAGCCTCTGATCTGCTGTTGCTACCATTGTATTTGTATAGATAGTGTGTTCAGTGTGCAGTCAATGTTAACCCCACCCCCACCACATCTCCAGAATTTTGACAGTGGGAGATTCAGCAAAAATGATACCATTGCTTATCAATGAATGGTGATTTAATTCTGTCATGATAGCCTTTTTTTTCCAGGATAAAACCAGCAAATACTAGGGGATATAGCATTAAGGTAAAAGGGGAAAAATTCAAAGGAGATGTAGGAGGCGAGTTTCTTTACACAGAGGGTGGTAAGTGCCTGGAATGTGCTGGCAGAGGAGGTGGTAGAAGCAAATAGCAATGTTTAAGAGCCATCTTGACAGATACAGGAATAGGCAGGGAATAGAGAGATACGGACCGTGTGGAGGCAAAAGGTTTTTAGTTTAGAAAAGCATCATGTGTTGGTGCAGGCTTGATGGTCTAAAGGGCCTGTTCCTGTGGTGTATTGTTCTTTGTTCTTTGTTCACTTATGTGGTGCAAATGTTACTTGCCATTTATCATCCATGACTAAATACTGTCCAAGTCTTGCTACTTTTGGGCATGGGCTCTGAGGAGTCATGGACCATTGCGTAATCATTGGCGAATATCCCCACTTCTGACCTTATGATGAAGGAAAGGTCATTGATGAAACTGCTGAAGATGGTTGTGTCTCAGGCACTACCCTGAGGATCTCCTCGATGGCCTGTTTCCACACTATAGGGATTCTGTGATTCTATGATTCTATAGTTCTACAATTAAGCTTGAAAAAGTTGTAGTTCGATGTGAAACTAGGGTGATTATGAAAATATGAAGAGGAAGATAGCTGTGTTGGATTGAAAAGATACATTAAAAGGTTTGACAATAGACAGGTAATGACTGGAATTTGAAGAATTAATGTTTGATTTTTCAAAAGTCATACATTTATTTCAAGCAAAAATATCCAACAGGAGAAGCATGAAAGACATGGGCTAATAAGCGGGTTAAGATTGTTCTCAATCAAAAGAGGAAGCTTCTAAATTTGTCAACACACGTTGTAAGCTTGAGAACTGGGAGAATGTTAGAATTCAGCAAAGGAGGACCAAAACGTTAATAAATAACGATAGAATAGAATATGAATGTAAAATAGCAAGAAACATTAAAAAAGAATTGTAAAAGTTTGTTTAGGTATATCAAAAGGAAAAGATGAACAAAGACAAGCATGGATCTTGTACAGGCAGAGATAGGCGAATTTATGATGGGGAATACAGAAAGAGCAAAGATACTAAATAAGTATGTTGCGTCTGTTTTGCCAGACAATACACAAGAAGTAGCCCTGAAATAATGAAGGTGCAAGGATCTAATGAAAATGTGGAAGTGAAAGAAATTATTATTAGTGAAAAGGTCATATTGGAGAAATTATAGGGACTGAAAATTGCCAAATTCCCAAGACCCAATGATTTTCACCCTAGAATGTTGAAATAAATGGCTACAGAGATAATGAATGCATCGGTGACCAGCTTTCAACATTCTATTAGTTATACAATAGCACATAGAGATTGAAAGATTGCAAATGAAACTCCACTATATAAGAAGGGAGAAGGAAACTTGGGAACTACAGACCTGTTAACCTGTAATGAAAACATTACAATCTATTATAAATGATGTGACTACTGAATATTTAGAAAATAATTATCTGATTGGACAGAGTCAATGGGATTTATCAAGAGAAAATCATGTTTGAAAAGCCACATAGAGGTTTTGAGGAAGTATCAGCAGTCTCAAAGACGGAGAAACTACTGAATGTGGTGTATTTGAATATTTAGAAGGCTTTTGATAAAGTCCCACATGGGAGTTTGGTAGACAGAATTGAATGCATGAGATCAGGGTTAATATATTAGTATAGATTAAGGATTGGTTAATAGGTAGAAAGTAGAAATTACAAATAAATGAGTCATTCTCTGGTTGTTAGGCTATAGCTGGGGGTACTGCAAGGATCAGTGCTTGGACCTCAACTGTTGACAACTTTATCAATGATTTAGATGTGGGGACCAATTGTAATTTCACAGATAATAGAAAACTTTGTTTGAATATGTGTTGCAAGGAGGGTGCAAAGAGACTTTAAGGGGATTTAGACAGGCTGTGAGTGGACAAGAGCATGGCAGATGGAATATAATGTGGATGTGTAAGAGACTAGAAATTATCAATGTCCAAAGGGATGTTGGTGTCATTGTTCATAAGTCACTGTAAGCTAGTGCGAATAATTCAGAAGACAAACAGTCTTCTAGCCTTCATTGCAAGATGATTTGAGTGTAGGCACAAGTAACTGTTGTTTCAATTGTAAAAAGCATCGGTGAGAGTGTACCCAGAGAACCAGTTCTGATAAAGGTTCATGGGACTCAAAGTGTTAACTCTGTTTCTCTCTTCATAGATACTGCCAGACCTGCTGTATTTTTCCAGCACTTTCAGTCATTGTCCAGGAATATCGTGTGCAGTCTGGTCATTTGCCCAAAGAAGAATACTTTTGATATAAAGAAAGTGCAGCAGTTCACCAGACTGATTCTTTGGATGGTGAGACTGTCCTATAAGCAGAGATTAAAAACATTTAGGCCTGTACTCTCTGGATTTTGCAAAAGTGAGAGGCTATCTCATAGAAACTTACAAAATTACTGAAGAGATAGACAAATTAGAAGCAGAAAAGATATTTCTCCTGTCTGTGGAATTCAGAACCAGGGGGACACAGTCTCAGAATAAAAGGCTAGCCATTTAGGACTAGGATAATGAGAAGCCTCTTCCCTCCCAGAGTGGTGAATATATGGATTTTTTTAACCTACTGGGCTGTAAAAGCTTAGTCATTAAGTTCAAGTCAGAGATTGATAGATTTCTAGTTACTAATGACATCAAGGGTTATAATGATTTTGCAGGAATATGGTGTTGCAGTAGATAACCGACCATGCTCTAAAATGGTAAAGCACATGGAGGGCTGTATGGTCTACTTCTGCTTCTATGTTGATCATGAGCAACTTTAAGGAAATGCATATAATTTTTCCACAACACCCATCTGGCAAATCCATCCTTCTGAAACAGACCAACCTGTTGAATGGTGATGCTATCATGTCACTGTTTGTAACAGACACTGAATTCACCAGTGCTGGATACATTCTGTGCCCTTGCCACCTTGAGTGCTTCTTCCAAGTGATGTTTGGTTCATCAGTGGAGGGACGTGCGGGGGTAGAAATCAGCAGGAGGTTCCCTTGTCCATGCATTTTGCCTACTTCAGCTTGTCTTTGATTTGTCATCTTCTTTCCTCCTCTTTTATTGCTCGTCATTTTCCAACTCTTTAGATCTATTCTAGAATCCAAGGAATTCTAGAAAATCAAAACCAATGCACTCACTTTCTCTGAAGCCACATCTTTTACAAATCTACTGATAATTCTCGTCCAGAGATTGATTCACTTGTTCGTATTCATCTCTCCAGTATAATTTTTGCACTTACATTGATTTCTTTAAATTCCTTGTTCTTTCTGGACCCTTGGTTCCCCAATATTCAGCTATTTCATTGGTCTTCTCTCATGAATACAGGTACAAAGAGTTGAATATAATCAACCCTATGAAGATGAGATTGAAGGAATGCGTGCAAGGAAAATAATTGGGTGCAGATGGGGCATCTGCAATGTCTCTCCAATGTATTTTCTCCTATGGGGGTTTATGCCAGTTTGCACTGGTAACTGAAATGGCTGCCCATTTCACGGAGGTGGACAGCCAGTTTATCCAATCACGGCCAAACCCGGGGCCCCTGATGTGCTAGCGTAGTATTTTACCAGTGGCAGAGTGGCTCTTCATCGCTTGTGAGGCTGGCCAAGGAGATGAATGGATGCAGGCCCTTCTGTAAATAGGCCTGTAGAGGAAAGTTTCACCTTTAACAAATGGCTTTTGTTCTTTGAACTTCTAACTTCAATACAGGTTGCTCCAGTACAGCTGCCAGTTTGCATTACCACATGTCCTCTATTGTGCCTGTGACAGGGTTAGCATTAGGCTTATAGTTTGGGTTAACCCTATCCTTATCGCAGTATCAAACTCCCAAGAAATTCCATAGGTCAAATCCATATCCCAGGAAAATTAACCTTGTCAAACAGTCACACCCAGTCAAAAGTTTTCTGTAGTCAAAGGGTTGCGATATAGGATTGGAATATGTTTCTGAATAGTAAAATTATCTATCGGACTGACAACAACACGGAAGGAGAAAAAATATATCCGTGTGTGGTTTTTGGGTGTGTGTCTTTGACAGTCACAACACTGTACAACCCAACGCATTTGTTTAAACAGTGTGAATTCCTATTGCTCTTTTACACAATGAAACTGGAATTGAGAGGGTAGAGCTATCTGTCTGGGATTTTCAACTACAGGAAGCTGAGAGATTATCCTATTAAATCTTTTTACAATTTAAAGGAGTTTCAGTAGGTAAAGAAGGTAATTCCAATGTTATTGGATTCTGAATCTAAGGCCCATTAATTTAAGAAAATTGCTAATAAATACGATAAAGGACACAGGAGAAAGCTTGTGCCTGAGAATGACGAACCGGCCCCAACATGGAGAATTGGAGGTAATCGGCATAAGTACATTTAAGGGCAAGCTTAAGTCCCTGAGAGACGAACAGAAGGGCGTCTCAAAGAAATGAGAAAAAGGGGGAGGAAGTTTTATGTGAAGCATCAGGACCAGCAATGGCTGAATGAGTCTGTACTGCAATTGTACAGCATACAGTTCAGATCCAGCCTTACTCCAATCCTTCGCCAGTTTGAAGGGAATATACTCTCGTCATCCTACACACACAGATCCCCAATTGTTTGTCCAGCAGCATTACCGTGAGCTACACGCTCGCAACTATATTCCATTGAACAGAAGTGAAAGCTGTTTGCTGAGAACGTGCGGAAACTGCAGACCGCTTTCAGTTTCGGGGACTTCCGCAAGAGAGTGCGCAGCAGCAATTCTTCCTCATTTCCCTGAAACAAAACGGAGTCTTTATTTCTCTTTTTCTATCTCCGTCGTCTGGACCGGGCTTGCTTGACAGTGGGAGAGACTCGCGAATGAGGAGGCTGTAAACTGGGAATCTAGCAGCTCACTGAGCAGCCCAGGGAGAGCTGTCTACAGGGGTAAATGCGCCATCGGTAATTAACACAGGAAGCTGCAACTAACATCATTCGTATCTGTAATTGCGTACATTTATTTATCTACTTAATAATAATCCACCAATACGAATGCTTATCAGCTTGGTGTTTCAAATAGTAAATTTCTTTTTTATCTTACTGAGTGATTTATTTTTGGCAGGACAGAGAGACTAATGCATAGGATGAGGAAACGACCTGTCAGCTCGGATAATGGGTTTCGATATTGGTCTCCATTTAGTTTTCTGACAGAATAGCCATCCAAAGGTAAACACATCTCAAATACTCATGCCTGTTTCAAATAAACGCAGGCGTTGAATGTTCTGTTTTGTTTTAAATGTCGATGTCAAATAACTACATGCCCTTTTAAAACAAAAACTCTGATCTGTTTGTCTTTAATTGCTATAGAAACCCACTAACTGCAGGTTAAATGCACCCAAATTTTAACTGGTGATGGCTTCCTACAGCAGCTGACAATGTGCAAGAGGCTGACTCACCCTGTGTTTTGGTTAGACCGTGGAACATGACAAGGTGCTGATGCTCTAAAACTTGGGGCAGCTGCCGCCAAGGCACTGGGGGAAAAGCCCAGGTCTTTCTGCTGAAGTGGGTGTGCATTCAGTTATCAGCCCCTCAAATGCATGTAGATATAGTCTTGTACAAGTAAGAGATGTTTTTAGTTTGTTAGGATGGAGTCAAACTCAAATGTTTGTTTGTTTCCTTAATATACTACTGTACACAACCAAGAGATAGGAAGAACTGCCGATGCTGGAGTCTGAGATAACAATGTGGAGCAGGCCCAGCGGCATCAGAGGAGCAGGAAAGCTGAAGAAGGGTCCCAACCCGAGACATCAGCTTTCCTGCTCCTCTAATGCTGCCTGGCCTGCTTTATACCTCCAGCTGCACACTGCTGTACAGAACCGAACTGCTTTTGTGACTATGTATATATACAAAGCTTTTTTTTTGTGAATAAAGTGTATTTTTTAAAAAATGGCAGGGCCAAAGTTGCAGCCCAGTCTCTGTACCAGCTATGGAAATTGATGGAGGAACGCTGCCTCAAGCATGTAGTGAGAGGTACAACCTCAAGCAGATAACCAATGTTCTCTCTCTAATGAAAGCACATATGAATGAGGAGAGGAATTACACTAATCACTTAATTATCATGCACATTTTTTTTTAAATATCTGGAGAAACTCAGCAGGTCTTGGCGGCAGAGATGGAGTTAATGTTTCAAATCCAGTATTAGTCTTCTTCAGAATTCTCAGACTCCAAACATTAAGTCTGTTTCTCTCTCCACAGCTGCTGCCAGACCTGCTGAGTTTTTCAAGCATTCTCCGTGTTTGTTTCAGATTTCTGCCATCTGCAGTTGTTTGCCTTTATTTAAAATATTGCTGTTGCTGTATTTAGCTACATGGTTAGTGCTATTGTTGAATCCAAGGTTGTGGTCAAATGCAGTGTTTTTCCACAGATATTATATTTACATTCTATTTTTAATTGCATTTACCTTTGGGATCAAATCCAGTTTACATTAAAGAAAAAACAGCTAATTTTTAAAAACAGTGGAAGCAAAGAGTTGCTATAAACATTATCTGCTGGGCAGTAATTTGATTATACACATGGATGTTCCAGTAAGTGGACATCAATGGATGGAAACTTGGGTGTATAATGAGTGACTGCTGTATCATTGCCAGTTTCTGAATTGGAAACCTGTCCCAAAGTGTCTGCTGCATGATGTTCTGAAAGCACAAAAGGAGGCCATTGAGCAATTCATGCCAGCTCACCACAAGAGCACCTTAGCATTCTCCAGACCTTTCCCAATAGCCTGGCAAATGTCTTTTCTCTTCAGATACAAGTTATTTTTTAAAGTCACATTGAATTTTCTACAAGCAATGTATTCCAATTATCCTAACCACACCTTGGTTAAAATAATGAATTATTCATGTTATCTTTTCTTCTTTTATCATTCCCTTTAGGTTAGTGTCCTCAGTTTCTCAAGCCTTACTTTAGTTCTCAATACCTCTATTTATAAACACAGAATAAAACTTAGCCTTTTCAGCCCCCTTTAGTGATTTGTTCACAGACAATCCCATGTCCGTCTCCTTCTGCATCATTTTTAGAATTGAATCCTTGTTCTTTGTTTATATTACGTCATACATCCAAGTACTAACTTTCCTCCAACATGTCTCCGTCCATTCAACCAGCTTGTCTATGTTCCCTTGACATCTGTCACTATCTTCCTGTGTTCACAGCACTTCCAAATTTTCTGTCATCTGCAGATGTGGAAATTGTGTCCTTAATCTAGATCAAGAAAAGCAGTGATCTGAGTTATGCTTCAGTTATGTAGGGCATTGGTAAGACCACATCTGGAGTATTGCATATAGTTTTGGCCCCCTTATTTAAGGAAGGATGTAAATGTATTGGCTGCAGTTCAGAAAATATTTACTAGAATAATATCTGGAATGGAAAGGTTGTCTTCTCAGGAAAGGTTGGTCAGATTCGGTTTATATCTGCTGAAATTTAAAAGAGTAGGAGAGGATTTGATTGAAACATTTGAGATCCTGAAGGGGCTTGACATAATGTAGATGTGGAAAGTGTGACAAAACTATGGCTTTAAGAGGTGTATTTTGTCTTTTGTTTTTGAAGAGAGGTTTAAAGAAGAGGCATCGAGATGTCTATTTGAATCCAATAAAGTAGACAGCTTATGTGAGCTTGGGTTTTTTTTTAAAGTTGGAACAATAGAAGCAGCCTGAATGGGTGGGATCAAGCTTCCACAGAGCCAGGATTTTTAGTTTTAGTTTTAGTTTTTCAGTAGCATTTGCTAGGGTCTTGAAACTGGGTTTGGAAGCTGCAGTACATCTCTCCCTGCTTCTCTCTTTCTCCCTTTCTTCTCTCTGTTTCTCCCTTTCTTCTGCTGGGTCCTTCCTTTCCTTTTCTTTTTCCTCCGCTTTTAATCGTAATTCAAACTGTTTCATTTCCTTTTCATCCTCAAACTACTTCATGTCCAATTAAATTTTAGCCATTTCCAAAGATTACAATTGCATTCCTGGCAATTGTAAATTCTTGATAATTGCCACAGTTATCTCTCCTTTCCTCAAAGACACAGGCAACTCCAACTCCAGCTTGTTTGCCAATTCCAAAAGCTTTGCTTTGCTCACTTTCTGTAAAATTCCAAAAATGACTTCTTCCACCCCCAGGAAATTCTTAGCGACTGAAAGAGACATTACTACACAAAGCACACCCTGTTTAAACCAACCAAATGCAATACCTGAAATAAACCACCAACAAGCACCATTCACTGCCTTTGAGTGCAACAATCCTAAACCCAACCTATAATTAGAGATTTTGATCACGACAAGAGCCCCCAATATGTTATGGACCAGACTGAAACACCTCAAAATATATTAAGAAGATAGCCCAGACCCTAACTGTTTCTTATTTTAAAGGCAAGTGCCAGGCATTGTGTTCTTAATGCAATTCGATTGGTCAAACTACCAGGCTTAAAGCAAAACCCGCTTTATTCATATACTACAATTAAAATACAACAAAAAAAATTGGAATAACAACTCTACTGGAAAATTTAATGGATTATTAGATTATTTAACTACTCATCAGCAGCTGTTCCAATGTAGTAACATCCCATAAACGCATGCTTAGCAAATTCAGTAAAATAGATTATCTCACAGGCATTTCTCCACTCCAGGAGGGAAAACATCAAGAGAAAACTCTGAGAGAGAGAGAGAGAGAGACAGTAGCAGGGAGAGCTGTATTGCAGCTTCAAGACCCCAGCAACTGCTACTGAAAAACTAAAACTAAAAACCCTGGTTCTGTGAGAACTTGATCCCACCCATTCATACTGCTTCTGTTGTTCCAACTTTAAAAAATACCCAAGGTCTCACAAGCTGTTTACTTTTTTGAATACAAATAGACAGATGTACACATCTCTTAACATCTGTCTTCAAAAAAAAAGACAAAATACACCTCTTAAAGCCATAGTATCCTTAGACAAGGATGTTTCCTGTTGTAGGAAAATATAGAATTAGGGGTCATTGCTTAGAAGAAAAGCGAGTCTTCAATTTAAAATGGAGAGATAGCGGAATTTTGCTTTTCAGGGGTTGTAGGAGGGTGTGAATCTTTGGAACTCACTTTCTGGAAAGGTGGTGAAAGCAGAGCATTTAAAAATGTTTCAGGCAGAGATTCTTAGGAAACAAAGGGATAAAAGGACATCGGGGTGAGGCACAATGGTTATGATCAGGTCACCTTAAAGATGCTGAGGACTGGGTTCTTAATATTTGAGAATATAAACTGTTGGGAAAAGATACGGAAGGATAAAGGGAGGTGGCAGTCATATTTACTGAAGATATTTTTGATAATTGGATACCAATCTGTATGAAACTAGATGCAAATCCTTTTCTAGATTGTTTGTTTATTTTAAGAATGCAAATTTAAATGCAGCTATCTCCTATCCACTTGTGTTCCAGCAGTCTCTGTTTAATTAAACACTCATGTCTTTCACTTGTCATATCTTACAACGTCATTACCAGACCAGTAATAATTGTATTGTTCGAAAGAGCAGATGTCCATCAGGGGACAAAGACATAATCTATTTGAATTAAAAAAACTGTGAATGTTGGAGATCTGAAACAAAAAAAAGAAAAATTGCTGGAGAAACTCAACAGATTTGGCAGCATTTGAGGAGACAGAAACAGAGTTAATGGTCAGACCTACTAATTTTCTTCAGAAATTTCTGTTTATGTTACAGAACCTATTTAGTTAGAGTTGTAAATCGGAATTAGGGAGGGATAACCGCACTGGAAATGGATAAACCTCGGAATAACATGGAAAATTATAGACTGGTGATGTTGGGGCCTTTAATTCCTCAAATATCAATTGAGATAATGATAGAGTAAAGGAAAGGGAGAAGGAGGTATTTCTGAAATGTATTCAGGAGAACTTCCTTAATCAGTACATTCTTGGTCCAACTAGAAGTGAGGCATCACAGGTTTGGGGAATGAAGTGGACCAAATGGATTAATAATCCATAAGAGAACATTTGGGTAAAAGCAATCATTGTATCATGAGACTTAGATTAGTAACAGAGAAAAACAATAAACATTCTAAAGTAGAACTTCTAATTTGATAGAAAAATAAGCTTAATGGGTTAAGAGCAGACTTACAGCAGGATAAATGTAACTTATGTTTGACAGGAAGAAGTGTAACTGAATGATGCAGGATCTTTAATGAAGAAATGCTTCAGGTACAGGTTAGGTGCAT